CACATATAGCCACGTCATACGAGTGCAATCATCAACAAACGTAACAAACCACTTAATCCCAGAAGAAGTAACAACCGGAGATGGCCCCCAAACATCAGAGTGCACAAGTTCAAACGGTAAAGCTCTTTTATTCATACTAGACGGAAAAGAAGCACGATGGCTTTTAGCAAGAATACATACTTCACAATGTAAGTCTGATTCATTTATTCCACTAAATAAACTAGGTAACATATGCCTTAAGTACCCAAAAGATGCATGGCCTAACCGACGATGCAACAACCACACTGCTTGTAAATTACTAGACCGGGACGCGCGAACTGCATTTGCTCTTCCAGAAACGACGTCGTCCACGTAGTACAACCCCTCTCTCTTAGTGCCACGCCCAATGATCTCCTTGGTCTGAATATCCTGGAGTAGACAAAAAAACGGATACATTAGAACAACACAATCCAATTGTTCAGTAACCTGTGGTATGGATAATAGATGATGGGATAAAGACGGAACAAGCAAGCAATGATGTAAAGGAAGTGATGGGGTGAGATGCACAGTGCCGGCACCACACACGGGTGCCAAAGTACCATTGGCAGTAGATATATTTTTCCTGTGAGATGTAGTCATGTATTGAAACATATTTTTATCATATGTCATATGATCCGTTGCCCCAGAGTCCAGAATCCAACCTGTATGGTGCTGTTTCTCGGAAGCTAAGAGAACATGTCCCATGGTACTTGTGTCGGACGACGAGGCACCCTGAGTACGAGTCAACAAATTCTGACCAGAGGCACTGGGGCTAGGCACGGCTTCCTGAACAGTGGGTGTAGCCGCAGCAAGGGAGGCACGGCCTCCACTGGACCCGGCTGCTCCACGCTCCTTGGCACGCAATTTTTTCTTTAACTCTGGGAACCAATCAGGCACTCCATGCTTAGTAAAGCATGTATCCTCAGTATGACGGGTTTGTCCACAAAAATTACACTTCAAATCATCTTTATTTTCGCGGTTGAAGGGACGAGAATTTAAAGATTGATTAGAATAATTACTAGAACGATTTGTACCAGTCGGCCGAGATATCATTGCCATGGACGGCAACCCTCCTTGAGTGTTACTTCCACCCATCATGGTAGCATGTCGTTGAGCTTCACGTCGAACAACAGAAAACACCTCCTCAACAGAAGGTAAAGGTTGAGTACGTAAAATATCACTACGCACTTTATCAAACACATCATCCAATCCCGCCAAAAAAGCGTACACACGATCAATCTGAATTTCTTCTCGAAGCGTCTTGAGATCCACAGCACATACCATCCGGATTGGTCTCCGCTGATCTAACTCCTGCCAAACGGACTTGAGATCAGCATAATACACACCAACTGGCCGACCCTCTTGACGGAGTCTGAATGATTTCACCTTTAATTCATAAATCTGAGAAATATCTGACCCATCATAGTAGGTCCGAGCTACCTCTTCCCACACTTCTTTAGCAGTACGTAGGTGAATGAAAAAACCCATAATAGTAGGTTCCATGGAGTTGATCAACCACCCTTTTACTATTGCATTCCCTGTCTCCCACGTCTCATACTCAGCACTAGCCTCAGCCGGCTCCTTGGTACTCCCAGTCACAAAGCCCTTCCTACCGCGTCCAGCGATGTGCATCTCCAAAACCTTGGACCAAAGAGGATAGTTTGATCCATTTAACTTCACGGTATTGGGTACAGCAGACGCATCACTCTGAATAACGATAGGATTCACGACTTGATTATTGGTTGAGTTACTGCCCTCTAACCGCATCACGCCACTGCCTCCTGAATCCATTCGGTGTTGCTCACCAAATCACCAAATCAACCCAAAAAACAACACGATACTACGTACACGCAACCACACCACACAGACAAAAAACTGTGCAGAGAGTTCCAAAACGATACCACACAGACAAAAAACTGAAGCAGTACAAACGGATAACCAATTCTGATTCGTACACAACCTGCACGGCAGCAGCCCCAAGTTGCAGAAAAAAAAAACCAGCAAGAAAAAAACAGCAATCTGTCCACAATGGTATCAGGGTATTGTGCTGCACAATCTGTCCACAATCTGTCCACAATCTGTCCACACGGCAGCAGCAAGGTATTGTGCTGCACACGCAGTCTGCACACACAGCAGCAGCAAACTGCACACACACAGTCTGCACACACAGTCTGCACACACGGCAGCAGCACACACGCAACCTGTTTTCTGCAGAAGATTTGCAGAAATAAGGTCAACCAAGCACAGCGGAAACGAAAAAAAAAACTAGGGTTTTGGCTCTTGATACCAAATAGAACTTTTACGGGATAATATCTTCTATTACTTGTTTTGAAATATATACATGTGCTATCATAGCTTTACAAGGAAACAAAAACATATACACAAACCTACTTAATAAAGGACTCCTATTATTTACATTCCTTATTTTTCCTAATATTGACTCACGCTAACAGTAGTTTTCTTGCTTACACACCCTTGCAATGTATTATGCTCTTGAATGAAGTGGACCTCATCACAGTGTAGGGACTCATTGTCTTTGTCAAATGATATATGAGTTTGTTTGGAAATGCTTTTAAAATAATTGAAAGCGTTTTTGATAAAAATTCAAATGAATCCTAAAAAAAACACTTTAAGTGCTTCCTGCAATAAGTCTTTCAAAATAAATTTCATCAAAACGCTTTTAGTCATTTTAAAAGTATTTTTAAACGAGCTCATATATACTTATCTCTTGTATAAAGAGTTATATAAACTTTTAATTTTTGCGTTTTTAATAAGTTATGACATAAAACCGAGCGCAATGACATTTTAGGATTCATATAGCCGACTCCACTTAGTAGAATAAAATTTTGTTGTTGTTTTTAATAAGTATATCTGTTTTATTGACAAAAAAAAAAATTATCTCTATTTAGAGTGGAATTTTGCAAATAAGTAGAAATGGTTCATTATTTTATATTATTGAATATACTTTTTGATTGTGTCAAAAGAGCGATCCAAAGACCTATTAATTCTAATCAAAAGGCATTTTTTGAATTTAAGCGTACTACGCGTGACTACATATTTTCTTAATCACATTATTGTTAGTCCATTGTGAGGCTAAGTCAACCCCCTTTTCTTTTTATGTAGATAATATCGTTTGTTAAAAAGAAATTATTTTCACTCTGTCAAGGCTCGCTGCCAGGCAACTCCAACAAGCCTTTTACAAATTATAATGAATGATGGTGGTTGCATTTGGATGCTGACTGTAGAGTGTGACATCAACAAAGTTTCATGATCATTGAATCTGAAACCGAAACCAGCTAGCTGTGATGTTATCCTGTACGGAATAGAAAATTGGACCAGTTGCTGATATGGCAATGTGAGCACATTTGTTGCTGAAAATTCCAGTCACCCAAGAACACGTTCACACTGGTTTATATTTTTGTTTTTGTGGAATCAAGTTATAGTAATTTTATCATGTCAACAAGAAGGAACGAGTCGTTGCATGCCACTTGATTTTTTTTAGTATTTGGAAGATATGGTTTGTGATATAATGCCAACAATTGGTCAATACAAGAAATCATTTTTATACCGTGTCTGCTAATTTGATTAGAAATTTTAAGCAAACTTACCTTTAGGCTTTAGTTGTTATCTAGGTCCATAGGAACTGGGGTAGATTCTTTCCAGGAAACACCGTCAACAAATTTCAAAATAAAACCCGTTTAGAAATGCTTTTGTGGAAAGTACTTCTACTTTTAGTGCTTTTGTTAGAGGGTGAGTTTAATTAGTGCGGTACTTATTTTATAGAAATCAAAACCATGGCATCGATGTATTACACTCAATAATTGGACTTATTCTACTGAACTGAAATTTTCTGATTCACGCTAAGAAAAATCTCTACTGAATAAAGTGACAAAGTGAATTCTTTTTCTTTTCTTTTTTTCCCTAAAATTACATAACTAGGTCATGTGTCATGATAATAACTTGCTTGATATTAATTCCACATGGCGTTATATGCCAATGAAATATAAGACATGTGGAGACAAGTTTCACATGTCTTTATTCATTGGCAAAAAACGCCACCGTGATGGTGTATTGTGCCGCAAAGTCCTTCTACATGTGCCTCTCTATTCCTTCCAATAAAATTTCTCCACTAAGATCATCTCCAATGCAAGGACTTCAAGTCCTATTTTTAGGTCCAGTTATAAGGCAAAGCATCTATGGTTAATGCACATGAGATTTAAAACTCATATTTGGTTTCAAGGCAAAATGAGACCCAAATTTGAGTTTCAATATGAGATTTGAGCCCAAGATGAAGCCTATGCCAACTAGAAAAAATGTTCTTAATTTATAAAAAAAAAAAAAAAATGAGATCTGAATTTTGAATTCAATCATCTCCAATGCACAAACCCAAATTATTAAAACTCAAATATGAGTTTTTAGTCCAATAGTTGAGTCTTACGACTTTGGGTCTTTGCATTGAAGAATAAAACCAAAATACATAAATATACCACCTTGGACCCAACTATAAAAATATTGGTCTAAAATTTGAGTCTTTACATTGAAGATGCTCTCGAAATTAAACTCAAAATTTCCTACCCTTTCTTTTTGGGACCGGCAGGTGAAAACACTCCACCCTTCCCAAGACCAGGAAGATTCGCAAAGAATCAAACCCTTCCTAGTCGACCCTTCCTAAACCATCTCGTGATTCACCAACATCAAGAATCAAACCCAAGATGTGCCGTGTAAACTACGTTTTTGAAATTCATCCCTCCAATTACTGGATCACTCCGTGTTGGTCCTACCCATTCTTAAGTAGGTGCCTACCATACGGCAAAAGTACTTTATAGACATCCACTAGCATTTTTAAGTTTTTCTTTTAACATTATAGTAAACCTTCGTTATCCAAAAGCCTAATTAGAGGGCAAAGGATGATTTAAGGCATCTCCCCACTAACATGTGAGAAAGATTAGAACTAGCAAATCAGCAAAAACAATTGGGAGAACTGACAAGAAGTCTTTCCTTTTTTCATTTTATATGTTAAGCCGTAAGAAGAAAAAAAAGGCAGATCTGATCTCTACACACACCTATCATATACTCTGGTTTTTCTTTCTTTTTCCCTTTCCTCCCTCTCTTCCCCTCTCTATGCACTGCATCATGACAAAGCTATTACACAACCATCTAAGTTTTTCACTATTGTCAGTGCCTGACGACATCAAAAAGTATTCGACAAGTTGCTTGAGGTTCCTCAACTCGGGTTTCTTTCTTCTTTCTCTTCCACCTGATTTCCCTTCCCCGGCGAGAGTTGGCCATACGAGTTTTCTGTACACGCCAAGCACACTCCTTTGGCCTAGACCATCCACCTTCCGGTCTTCTTGTCCCTTGACGGGATACTCCACTCTTTTGTCAAATACCTACGATTTATTTTGCATGTAGTCAGCCAATGCAACTCATCTGCAGAACGAGAGGAAGAAACATCAGTAGGGTCCAGCAGAATCTCACAACTTCGGAGACAGTTGCATCTAATTAAACCCAATGCGAAGTTATGACTTGGATTTTACATGTACGATAACAAATTATAGAACAAAACGTTCAGTCGTGGTTTGGACACAAAGACAGCAACTCGTTGCTCACAAATAGGCTTGGCTAATGAAAATTGCTTAAACTATTCTTCCATGAAGGCAAATAATGGAATAAAGATTACTGTACAATTATTTTGTGTCTATAAGAAAAAAAAAGCTCACCTTTGATATTTTATAACCGCATGCCACTGGAAAGATGTACGCTGGACAAACAAAAGGGAAGCCATCTCAGAATGAAAATCTGTCTCGAAGCCTGGTAATACATGTCAACTTGAACTGTCGTCTTGCTTTGAGCTCAAATGTTTACGTTGCCTATTTAAAACCTCGGCTTCCCTAGCTATCTGGATATCCGAAGGCCAAAATATATGATTTACAACTTTGAACACAAAGCGAGGGAGCAACGCGACAACAGTTATAAGCAAAATGGCGATCCAATATGTGGGAGACTTTGCCAAATGGTATATAGTCCTGCACCCAAAAGAAAATGAGGGGGAAAATCAGATCAACATTATAAAACAATATAAGTTTAAAATCAGAAAAAGAAGAGCAGAAGTCAACGAATCTAACCAGTAATTAGGAAAGACAGGTATAGAATCCAATACCACCATACAGGCATATGTGATAATTATTGAACCCCATACTGCGATTTGAGTGATGAATACCCAACGATGAACGTCCATTGCCAAATGCACATTGACAAGGACAACAACTGCAATCGTCCATAAACTGCCCATGCTCCATATGTCTATTGAGCTATCCTTATAGGTGAAGAGGGGTACATAGAAGAGAACAAGACTCTGCCATACGGTGTCAAGCATTGTGATCCAGAAGAGATGTAAATTGTATGCCTCATGTCTATGGCCAGCACCATAGAGTTTTGGATATTGTAACAGTGTCCTGTGGCTCAAGTCTTTGTCCAGTATACCAACAACAATTGTGGGGAGTGAAGTATAAATGACAGAATAGAAAACACTACTCCAATCTGTTAAAGCAGAAGTTGTTGAAAAAGCAGTGGACAATATAAACCTGCAGATAAACACATAAGCATAAAACAATCAGCATCGCTAAAAGTTGCAACATGTAAACTCGAAGAAAAAAATGATTCTTTGGCTCAATACAGCTTTTGGTGTCCTACGCATAATGTATCAATGCTTTGAATGCACAATGAAAGATCTATCTTAGATTTTATTGTGACAACTTATAATAGATTTCAATCTTGAAAGAGTGCTTTGCTATGTAACTGAACTTAAGAAGATATCGTTACACAAATGTTCAACTTCATGTTCATACATCACATTTGGATTTAAATAAAAATAATAATAAAAAAAAGATGATGCACGTGCAGAAAGCTTCTATGAAAATAAACCAAAGAACAAGGCATACCAAAATAGCATCAGTACAAAAACTGCATTGCGGTAGAAGTTGTACAGAATCATATAGCCAACACGCTGATAATTCCAGTGACCATGCACCAAAAGTAATGTTTTCAAAAACCGAAACTGTCCCATAGCAAAGTCTGAAGCCATCACAGCTTGACGTCCTTCCTGACCACAAATTCCAACTCCAACATCCGCCATTTGGATCATTGAAACATCATTTGCCCCTAAAGACATGTCAGTGATCAGAGGAGGAAAAGAGGTGGAGAACTTAAAACAAAAGTAAAGCATAGTGTAGGACCACAGTTTGCACATAAATAAGAAACAGTAAACTCAGAATATGACTTGGTTTTGCATCCACTGTCATGCAGGATTGCATAAGAAAACAACAAAGCCAATATGGACTCCACCCCCTCCCAATCAGGCAAATCATAGCAGAACTATCAATGGATAACTTACCATCACCTATAGCCAATGTCATGTCATCCGTACGAGTCTTGATCAGATCAACAATTCCAGCTTTCTGCAGAGGTGCAACACGACAGCATAACACAACACTACAGGATGTGGCAAGGTCGAATAGCTGTGGAAATAAAAGACATAACCAAGTTAATCTTCACCATAACGTGAATCCAATTCAACAGTATTATGGGTACAGCTAGAAAACTGTTTAAAACGAAAGCAAGCAATCGGCCACTTATAAACAAACAGCATAACAAACTGCAAGCTAATTGTTCAATAGATGGAAAGCGGGACTTGCCTCTAACTCTAGTTCTTTCTCCAGAATGTATACCAAGCTGTTCCCATCTATTATGAGTGCTAATGGTGCGTTCCTTTTTCCTTCTTCCTTCCCTCCATTCCATTCAGGCACACAGGATGTCTTTGCATTGCCAGGTATCTCAAGGTAGCCATTTTCAGCATTTTTTTTCAGTTTGAAACTTGGGTCTCTTTTATTGGACGATTTTACACCATATTTTGCCATAGAATCAGCCAAAAGATTTCGGCATTCATCCTCAGAAGTTCCATTTATAATGATTTGTTGCATATCTGCTGTCAAGAGTTTGCATGATAGACCAATCGAAATAGCTGTCTCTTGCTTATCTCCAGTAAGAACCCAAATCTTGATCCCTGCTTGCCGGAGAGACTCAATAGCTTCCGGCACACCATCTTGTAACTTATCCTCAATAGCAGTCGCCCCAAGAAGCTTTAAGTTGCATTCGATGAGAGCTGCTGTTTGACGTAATTTCGAGGAACGATCAGTCAACGAGGTACTTGCATCTTCATACATGCTTTGCCACTGCTCAAGTTGTTCATCTGTAAGATCCCTGGCAGCAACCACAAGAGTACGTAAACCTTCTGAGGAATATTCATTCAGATGGCTTTGAGTTGAACGCGTCAGATGATCATCCCTTTCAGAGTCATTTGCTAAAGTGCCGAACATAGTAGTGTCAGCACCTTTCACCAAAACCTTTACAGTATTGTTTGGAAATCTGATAACAACGGACATCCTTTTTCGCACGCTATCAAACTCATGCAGACCCAATACATCCAACCTAGAACCACATACAAATAAATTAAAAATAAATAATAATAATTATCAATAAGAAAAAATCATGGAAGGATGTTAAAGTACTGCTACTATAGCACACTCAAATACAACGTAAGTCGTCATTAATGTGATTACATACAATCCTTTTATATTTTAATGATGTAGAATGGACATTTATTGAACGAAGAAAGGTGCAAATAGAAAATAGGAGCTGAAATGAGCGACTCCCTACCTTAGTTTCTCACCATTGACATCCATAACAATGTGCCCAGATGTGCGCTCAAAAAGCGTATATCCATATGCAGAGGCTGCAGAAACTAATGCTTGCTCATCAGGAGATTCCCCCTGATAGTCAATAGCTTCTACATCATCTAATTCACTTTTTCCGCAACTGGAAGATGTACCATTACTGACAATAGGAACCACAGTATTGCAAGCAGCCAATGTAAGAAAAAACTCATGTGCAGCAATCCTGTCATTTTCACTTAAGTCTTTGTGCAAAAATTCCACAAGCTCATTATCTACAGAAATTTCGCTTTTGAGCTTCCATCTCTTTCTACCTAATCCTATTCCTGTCAATGATCACATACAATGAGGGCTTGTACAAAAAGGAAATCTGGATATGATTTATGAAATGAAAGTATCGTCTATATTCAGAAAGCAGACAATTCAAAGCAATTTGAAACAGTTTTCCCTCTGAATAGCAATTTTAAAGAGAAAAATAGTATTGCAAACACTAGCATAAACTAAGAGCACATTAGTAATGCTTTTGCTGTATGTTTTCTGTTTTTCATAACTACACAGAAAGGAGGAGGGGCACTTATGATGTCTTGCAAATAAAAACTGTTTTCAGTAATTAAAAGGAAGAAGGTAAGCATGACATGTTATACCTGCAACATTTGCTTCCTGCAAAGAGGTCCCAAAACTCCTCCCAAATATGCTTGCTCTTCGGAATTCCATTTTGTTCTCGGTAAGTGTCCCTGTCTTGTCTGAAAAAATATATCGTATTTGACCCAAATCCTCATTAATATTCAACGATCTGCACTGGAACCTTGAGCCAGAGCTACTGTCAAACATATGCCTGTCTTCGATCATGAAATATGACTGGCCCAATCGAACCAACTCCATTGTAATATAAAGAGAGATTGGTATCATTATCTGGAAAACTATGATGGAACTCAAAAAGGAGAAAAAGATCTCCATAGGTATCCCATAAAACCTAAAGGTTTTTCCATTCTCTTTCCCATCAGAGTAGTATCTTTTCCGGTAATAAGCCAAGGTATCAATCTGACCTTTATGGCGCATGAGCCACAGGCCCATGCCAGTGGCCACAACTGCACACATAACAAAAAGGAAAACCGACAGCCAGAGAGTTTCCCTATTCATGTAGCTTTCCAGTTTACTTCTCTTGGAAGGAGAAGCTGCACTATTCAGCATTGCCTTGGTTTCCTGTCCAGCATATACCACGACACCAATTGCCCAGGCTGTGTTCTTCAGCTGGCAACCACGCAAAACTATATTTGATTGACTCAGGGGAAATTTATGCCCATTAAACTCCATGTTGGCAGTGAACTCATAGACATTCCTATTAGGTTGTTCACATCTGATGAGCCCTAAAAATGCACACCCTTCACATACAGCTGAAGTTGTTTCCTGCCGCGCATACCTTGTTTTCAAGTTCGACTCACCATCCAAATTCATTGTTTGAATGTAGGCAATTCCACTAGGGTCGCTTGTCCCTAACAAGACCACATCACAAGGAATTGTGTCATCAGCACAAATCTTTAGAACCTCGCCCACTTGAATATGTTTCCATTTCTTCGGTTGAAATTGGCCAGATTGAAACACCAGAGCCTCCCGGTTATTCTCATTCCTGTCTGATCTATGTCTTCGCCAATCTTCATAGCCATCTTTGATAGCTGTGACACAGAGCACAAACAGAAGGGGGAAAAGAGACACCGTTCTTCCAAAGACTGCAAGAGGTGGAAGCTGGTTGAGGGCAGCAATAGCTAGAAAATACAAATAAGCAACCCGATGAAACTGAATGAAAAGATTCTTGGGCAAGAAGGTAATGATGGTGTACTTGCTAGTTCGAATCTCATTCCCAGTGAACTCATATTTGTCATTTGTCCTCTTCGGATCGTTAATATAGATCAACCTTGGATTGTCATCATGCAGCAAGTTATCATCTAACTGCACACTTTTGTGACGGATCCTCTGAGACAACTTTTCCTGAACCCTAGATGAACCCTGGGAGATTTCAAGAGTTCCTGAATTTCTAGTTTCATTATGCAGTTCCATGGCACCCCACGACACCAGGCGTCTTCTATCCCGCGTGGGGTTTTCCAACGGAAACTGCGGCAATAACCGAGAACCGAGTGGACCAGCAAGATTAGTGGAATTTTCTAAGGGTTTCTCAGAGCAACCAGAAACAGCAACGTCGTCCTTCACTTCAAGTAAATCACTTTGAGCATCATCATTGTTGTCAAGACTGGAAGAAGAAAATGAAGCATTGGAGGAGATACGGGCAAGGTTCTTAGTAAGAGAAGAGGATGGAACCAGTGGCGCTGATGGAGAATCAGACGAAGACAGCAACGGGTGCCCAGAAGTCATAAATAATTCTCCAATGAGGTCATTGGAGAATTACATATACACTTCACCCCACTTCTAAACACCATGAACAAACACAGCCAATCAATCCAGAAATCCCATTTCCCAAAGCCAGCGTCCGGCAAACACCGATTAAACCCAAAGAAATCAAGCACTACTTGCTTAAAAACCCAGTATCCAAAATCCCTCTAATCCCAAAATTAATGATGGGTTTGCAATTTTTTCAAATTCACGATGTGAGATTCAAGCTCCTGCAAACCGAAGAAACAGACAATGTAGCTCAGTAATACCATCCAGAACGCATATTAAAAGTACACTTAGAGCATGCATTACAGGTACACTTCAGAATCTCAGAAATGCAGAGATGTAACAAAAAACAAAAAGAAGATAAATTGCATTCAGATCAGACACAGACCACCCTTTGATCGCAGGGAGGGAGAATCAAGAGCCCCACAGAAAGCCCCAATTGCTCAAATAACAACAAAGTTCCGCAGATCCCCAAGAAAGCAATGCCAAAGCTAAAAACAAAGATGGAAAAGAAAACACGGTCAATGAGCAATCTGAATCACTGCCCCCACAACCCTAAATCCCAGAAATCAAAACCCAAATCAGAGAAATACCCAAAATTCCCAATCGACTAAGAGCCACATACACCAAAATGCACCAAGAAATTCTGCAATATTCTCATACCAAAAAATAGAAAAATGAAAACCCAAAAATAAAATAAAATAAAAAAACCCAGAAAAAACAACGTACCTCTGAATCCGAATACAGACAAAAGACTGGAGCTTTATCGTCTCGGAATTGGCGAAACGAGAAGACTGAACGAAAGAGCAGGTACCAAATGCCCTCCAATGAACTGAATACGAAATGTCACAACGTAAACACGAAAAGGGGAAATTGGCAGGTGAGCAAAAAGATCAGGGCAATGATCTCACCCTCAGTTTTTCCTTTTGTTTCTCCAGTTTTTTTTTTTTCTAACAAGAAATTCTCAGGGACCGGATCGGGCAAAAGAAAAAACTTAGGTTCGATGAGAAAACGAGATTTAGGGGAGCGATTCAGTTTTGTTTGGGGGAAATTGGGAGGAGAAGGAAGGAGGAGTTGGTGGGTGGGCGGCACGAAAAGTGCGAGAAAATCGTAAGCGGAGGGGAGAGAGAGAGAGAGATGAGCGGCAGAGCGCGAATCTTGGGGCGTTGCCCGGTCACTACTGACGGACTCTTCCTTTCTTGGCTTGTCAATCTGTACCTGAGCTTTTTGTTTGGGGGAAACTGGGGTCGCTTTGTTTTTTTTTAATTATTATTTTTTATATTATATAGTAATTACATGGGGGTATTATTGTCAAATTGTTCTCTAAATTATACACATCAAAATGGGTTTTCATCGTAGTAATTTTCACAATTTCGTTTATTTTTTGCAAGTGAAAATCTATAATGTATGGATAGATATTAATTATTGTATTTATATACGTGTTATAATTTGAGTGAATTTATAGTTAAATATGTAGACGTATTGGACACGTATTTTGGCCCTTAAATCTAGTAAATTTGTAATTACCTAACTTTTTAAAAAATATTTCTTAAAAAAGTTTATGCCAACGGGAGACTTGTTTGTCCTTCCACTTACGATTAACGAACTTTAATGATTCAAACATAATAATTGAAACCATTTTCTTTATCATTATCTAAAGATTATAGATGCAAAATATTATTTAATTTGAAGATCTTTTAGTTGTTCATATGCATAAAACAAAAAGACAGTTCAACATGAGAATGCTACTTGTTACCAAAATCGTTGATTAGTTTAACACGTATAAATAAATAAATAATCTCCAAATTGAATGATTTTTTGTAGATATGATCGTTAGATAATGATAAAGAAAATGGATCCACTCATTATGATCTTTGCATAATGATAAAAAAAAAAAATGAACAATTTCAATTATAATATTTGAATGATAAGGGTTCGTTAAACGTAAGTGGAAGGACAAATAAGTCTCTCACATAAGACACAAACACTATCCCTTAATAAAATTGTAAATTTCCTATATCATTGTTGGATATTGTGCAATATAGAATAATTAGTAAAAGGTCCATTTTCTTGATCACCTCCCCCTACCAAAGAAAGAAAGCAAGTTAAGCAACCAACACACTCAACCGAAAGATAATACAATGTTCGTTGCTCTGTCTAAATTTTATTTTTATTTTTTTTTATAATACTTAAAATAGCAACTTACGTACTAAAACGACGACATTCGATATTGATAAATATAAGAACATGCATAAAAAACTAATGGGTGTTTTTATACTATTGACATGTGGCAGTACACATGTGCTATACAAATTATTTTACCATACTCTGCATTTTTCTTTTTCCAAATGCATTGTAAGCCTTTTTGTCATGCATATATCAATTCCACGAGTTTTAGACATCTGACGTAGCTACGATGGTGGTATGTGTGGACGGAAAAGGATCCTTGTCGATTTTTTTTTTTGGGGATATGGGAAATTTAGTAATTATGTCGGTTCATCATACATCATGTGATCAGTTTTTGTTATGTATTATTTATATTTAATTTAAAATTTAAAATTTAAAATAATTTCTGATTTCTAACCGTACAATGTACGATGAACGGACATGACTATGGAGTCCCCTGAATCCCCAAAAAAATAATCCAACAAGGATCCCTTTCCCATGTGGACGGCTACATTTGCTTCCAAATTTATCCCAACCCCTTAAACTTTGGATTTAGTGAGAACGAGAGATTTATTAGTGCGTCAATAATCCAGACATATACGTCATACCATAAGTTTTACATAAGTAGAGATAATTTTTATTTTTTTAAGGACATACGATGTACCGTCTCGTGTTCTATGTACATTTAGTGCATCCCCAATAGGGGCTTTATCCTCCTTGAGACTACCACATTTATAGCTCTAATGAAAATTTTCATCCCCAATGGGCCAGAAAATGGGGCTACATCTACCACAAGGGCTAGCAACTTCAATCCTAAAGTAGTAAGAAGTTAGGCTACATCTAGCCCCAAAAAGTAAGGGGACCACACCAAATTGAGGACCCAATCTTGTTTTTTGTTTTTGTTTTATTAGTTTAGAAATGGGTGAGCCACATTTTTAATTCCAAAATATGATTTTAAGGGTTTATTTTTCAACCGTTTAGGATTTTAAGAGTTTATTTTCAATTGTTTGTTTGATTAAGAAAACATATACAAACAGACTACTTTATGTGTTATTGATTACAAAAAATGTTGTGCTTCGTGTTTATTTTTCTAGAATGAAAATTTCATAAAAAAAAAATTATGAAATTTAACATTGGTAGTTTAGAGACCTAAACCGAAAATATAAACAAATAACAAAACTAAATTATGATAAGATAATCCAATCCAATGATTGTTATTAAATGAAAATCTTGTTAGATTTCGGAGAATGTGTCAATCAAAGAAATAAACGAATGGTTGTTATGAAATAAAATCTTATCTTGTTTGATTTCATAGAAACTGACCAACAAATGAAATTGAAATAAGATAATCAAAACCAATGATTATTATGAAACGAAATCTTATATTGTCTGATTTCATAAAAACAAACCAACGGATGAGATTGAGATAAGAGAACCTACAATGGTGCATAAGTGATGAAATAAAACTTTGTCAGAATTTGAATATTTTAAGGTTAAAAAATTCATAGATTAAAATTTAAGATAACACGTCTAAAAATCAAGTTTAGAGAAGTTAAGACAATAATAAATTTACCGCGTAATCAAATTACTACATAATAAAATACATAGCCCCATATAGAACCCTATAGCCTTTTATCGAGAGAGATTATTTTTTAGAACCCTAAAGATTATTCGGATATCTAAATTAAACTATATCCACCATTTTTCTAGCCTGTATAGAAATCTCTCCATGAGAACTGATCAACTAAAACTCGGACCAGTTTATGTCTGTTTGTCTCTTTCCCAGTACAGTGTGGATTTCTGTTCCAAGTATACCCCTAATCCGTTGGACATAGTGACGTGTAAAGCCCTGTGTAGATTTTCAGCCGTTGATGGGTGATCCTCTGTTCAATGAGTCAAACCGTGCGGGTGAGATTATCTACTGGATAATTATTTGTGTGCGAGTCCGTCTTGTATTCAGTGGGATTCCCACTCGCGTAAGGCACCGACATACATGTTTAGTAGTTTAGACGTGAGGACGAAGTTTCCTCGAGCATTGTTTGCTGCTTTTGCTCGTCATTTTGGAGAATAAGATAGTGCGGTTCCCATAACACCCTTGTCAATTTGTATCATAAATCTATCATGAACGGAAGAAGAAACAAGAGCTTATAAATAATTTATTTTTCGTATTGTCAAATGATTTTATGTGAATTTTAACTTTTTTATAGTATCAGAGTAGGTTATTTTATATGTGAAGTTCAACGGCTACACTTACTTCATGCCACTTGATTTGTGTTAACCAGCACTAGGCTTAAATATTGGTCATACGTAGAGGGTGTGTTGAGAATATGGTACAAGAAATTAGGAAAGTTGCATATGCATATAAGTAATTGTGTTACTCCTTGTATTGCCAATTAGATTTATGGTGTAGTTCAATTACTTTTAAGCACATACAAGGCCATAAATTATGGATAGTTAAACATGGTTCGGTTTGATTTGATTTGACACTAAAAATATACATGCATTGCCTAACATTCAACTATTCAATTTGGTTCGATTTTGACCAGTAATAATTGAAACTGAACCAAACCACACCATTTTTAATTTGATTTGGTTCAATAGGTTCAACATTTTTAATTTTCTCAACATCTACACATTTTAGTAGATCAAAAGATTAAGTTTTCAAAACATAAAAATTTCATCTTGTTAATTAGGATTAAGTTTCAGTTAAATATAATCTCATAATTGTGACAGCCCGTCCCGGGAATGTTAAAACGTATGTGTGAAAAGACGGTTTTGCCCCTAGTTCGATTCCTTTACGTTTATTGGTTGTTTTTGAGTTTTGGTTGGCATGTTTGGAGCCACACACACCTTCCCACACACCACAGCCTTTTTCCTCCTGTTTCCTGCACCTGTCCCGAGCCCCATTCCCCTTCCATTTCCTTTAACATGTACGGACACACCCATAACCCTATCAAACCTTCACAGATCGTGGAATCCAAGGCCATATTCGAGTTCGTGAGGCTTGTAGGAGTCTAACTATACCATTTTCAGGTAAGAACACCATCGTTTTCACGTCGAATCCACGATGTCCGATTTCGAGTACTGTTCATACACACGTGATTTCTCACGTTTTAGGGAATTTCAAGCTTGTAGGTAGCTTGGTGAGGTCCCTAGGAGGCTCGGGGTGGTTCGTTTGAAGGATTTCGACGTCGGGAACACTAGTTTCGAAGTTGGCCGGAGCTGGGTTGAATTTTCAGGTGAGATTTCGTGGTTTTTAACCCTTGAAAGTAGTATGATTGTGTTCCTCTAGTTCTAAGCTTCATTTTGGTACCAATTTTGTGAAATTTGGATGAAAAACGAAGAAGATATTGAAGTTTGAATTTTTCCCGATTTTCCGGCGCCGGCGACGGCGCCGGAGGCTTGCCGGAGAAGATGACGGAATATTCCTGACGCAGTTGACGAAATCTGTTAAAACTGACGAAATATTCCCTACGGCGTCAGTTGACGCCGTCAGCTTGCCAGGCATGTGCCTGTGCGTGGCCGGTGCGTGTGGCCGTCCCTTGGCCGACACGTAGGGGCGCGTGCGACGGTGAAAAATTATTTTAAAAATTTGGGGATGTTCCTGAGGTTGAGTAAAGCACGTTGGTATATTCATACACCCTATTTGAGCAATGTATGAGAGGTTATTTCTAAAGGTTAGTTATGTGCTTTAAAATTAACGTTTTTGTAGTTATTTCGCATATAGGTGAGACGTATCCCAAGGACGAGCGTGGTCACTCGAGGCAGGGGGGTTACGACCCTTCCACTTACCAGTGAGTGGGCTTTTGGTTTTCCGTATATACCTATATACTTATATTTTCCCAGAAATTGATTTGAATTGTCATTTGACATATGCCATGCATTAGATTATCGTTATTTATGCATCGTTAGTTGCACTATTAGTTGCATATATATACATATGCATATTGGGTGCTGCGGACGCACAGGTAAGTGTCAGGTAAGTGTTGTTCATGTTTACATTTAGTAGCGATTCAAGATGCTTAGAGAGCTCATAACCTGCACCCCCGGTGTTAATGCTCCCGCCCAGAGTAGGGCACAGTCCTTCACGTGTTGTTCACCTCCCACACCACACGCTCAGCTTGGATCCAAGTTAGGTGCACAGTCCTGTTGTACAGACCACTTTAGGTGGTTCCGACTCGTAGGTGACCCGCGATTATTCGCACAGCCTTCACGTGATCGTAGCACTAGAGCGTTTATATGTATTACACCCAGGCTTGTCGTACAGACCACTTTAGGTGGTTCCGACTCGTGGGCAGGTTTAGTTATTGAGATTGAGATTTGAGCTCTAGATACAGCCGTACAGGTCACGTTAGGTGACTTCGGCTGCCAGACTATATGTTATTGATGTGATTTATACCTGAGCTCTTGCATTTCATTCTGAGGTTCCGAAATGGCATATTCTTGAGCATGATTGGTATATATATATATATATATGTGTACATATGTTTATCTTCTGGGAAGTATACAGGTTTTACGGCGAGGGGTTAGAACTTATTTGTTAAATGGTTTCGAAAAGCTTTGTTTTTGCCCACTCACACTTTTGTTTTGCGCCCCTCCAGGTTCTAGCGGTCTAGCAGGTTTGGTGGTTTCCCAGAGGGCTTTCCCAGCATTTCTGACAGACGATCACCAGTGTAGGGCCACCTTCGGGTGTACTGTTATTGCGTCATTTTCGTTTGGACTGCTTAGGCGTTATGCTCTGAACTTGTGTCTCACTTACGCTAGCACTTATTTCTATTACCTTGTGTATGCTAGTTTTTATTTATTCATACTATTTCTATTATTTTGTTAGCTTCCGCACTGTGCACATGGTTACGTCACATCCGCGTGATGGCCAGCACGCCCTGATCTCGGTCGGGGTGTGTCAATAATAGCAAACGATTTATTCTTTACAATCTCACATAAGTATATATAAATAAATCTACGTATTGTTAATAGTCATCACAACTTATATTTTTGTTTTATCACACTAAGTAAGGTCGATCGTATAAAACCTAAAACGTTATAAAGCTCGATTTTTCACCGCTGCGCTCAACTAGAGGATACAAACATTTGAAATATATGAATATACGAAGTTATGAACTATAAGTATATATTCCAAGCACTAACATACAAAGAACATTAAAACATAATGAGGTATTATATTATTATGAAAACGAATAAAATTCAAATAAAATTCACAAACCAAAAACTCTATAAAATTATCACTTCTCTATTTTCTCTGTAACGATTTCGGAACCGGACGCAGAACAACTCTCCGGCTTCCGCGGTGAGTTTTCATCCACAGATTCCGCCATTTCCTCCTCCGCTTCATCTTCCGCTTCCACTTCCTGATCAACAAAACAATGAAAACGAATTAAACAAAAAACAATAATTAATTTCAAATCTGATAAAAAATTAAGAAAAATCGAGATTATGGTTCACCTGCGACGGCCATTCTGCGGTCTTCTTTTCTTTCTCCTTCTCCCTGAGCGATCGAATCGGCGACACTCTCTGTTCCGAAACACTCAAAATTAAATCAAAATCGAAGGAACAAAAAAGGGAATGAAAAAGCGTTTGAAATTCAATCGGAGCTTACGATTGATCGAACATGGAGCTGGTTCAATCGGTAAATCCGATCGAGCTCGATCTCCAACATCCTCTGAATCTGCCCTCTGTTTTCGAGCTCCTTCGTCTGCATTTCCATCATCAGATCTCTCTCCTTGAGCATCTTTTCCGTCGTCTCTCTGTCCGATTTCATCCTCTCCATCTTCTTCCTGATCGCGCTCAGCTCCTCCGCCAGCGACGCGTCCATCGCCTCAATCTTCACCGGAGTCACATAGATCGGACGGTTCTCCTTGTTCGAATCATCCCCAACGCCAATCAGTTGCTGTGCTGGCTTGATTTTGACATCGGAGTTTGTCAGAGACGCCGGAGTGTTCTTCAGCTGGAGCGGCGTCCGGCCGCTTCTAGGCCGAACAATCTGGTTCCCGGCAATTCCGGCAATCCCGGCAACAGGAGATTGAAGCGCCTGCATTGCTTTGGTGGATGCGTGAAAGATGCTATTGCCAGTTGAGGTTGTTATACTTGAGAGGAGAGAGAGACAGAGAGGAATTGTAGAGAGAGCGTGTTTGAATTTGAAAGTGGAGAGGCGCAAAGTGCTAACGGCTACAATTTTAATTTGCGTTCAGAAAGTTTATTTATAAACGAGCTCCAGATTCCAACGATGATTATTTTATGAAAAATTTTATTTGGACTCAATTATCTTATCTCTACACTTAATTAACAAGTTTTATCTATCAAACTTTCAAGTTTACCCTTAAATAAATAAGAATAAGAAAAGAAAAGAGAATAAACATTGGTGCCCATAACTTCAAAACTGGCACAACAATTCATTCCTCCATCATTTTCGGCAAAACCCACCCTAATAATAGCAAAATATTCTCTGGAGTTCATCAACGAGTCAGCTTGCTAGAAACCCTTATCAGCCCTCATTTATAATTTCAACATAGGTTTTTGGCTAATATGTTTGATTGTTTGAACCATTATTTGGGAGTTGGCCACTTGCATAAATTATTAAAACTAACAAGTCAGCTTGCTAGAAACCGTTGTTCCTATCTCTTCTAAATAGACACTAACATGGAAGCTTTTTTCTCATATTGTAGGAATTTGTTTCATGTCCAACAAATTAGTAAGAAGTTTTCTCTGCTGAAATTATAAATGAGGGGGTTTCATGCAATAATGGTTTCTATCAAGCTGATTTGTTGATGAACTCATGAGAATATTTTGTTATCATTTGGGTGTGTATCGTGGGAAATAATGGAAAATTACAAATATGTGCTATTTTTTTCTGAGTTATTGAGTGTAGAGATAAAAACATCAATGTTTATTTTCTTATTCTTATTTATTTAAGGGCAAACTTGAAAGTTTAGCAGAGAAAAATGTTTAGTCGATGTAGGGATAGGATGGCTAGGTCTAACTAAAATTTCTCTTATTTTATTCTTTTAACAGAAGATGATTGAGTGGCAATCAATTACAAAAGACACGCTCATGGCAGGACCTGCACACTCATTATGTCCTACCAGATAACGACACATAATACATATTTTGTTTGGTCAGAAATGACGAGGCATTGTGGAGATGCCGATATTAAATTGGAAGCCTTGTTGGATAAAAGATAAAAGGTGGTAAAATTTTCAACTGTTTCAACCCTAATTAAGGTTTTTCTCTAGCACATGTCACGGATTTCAAGAGTAATAATTCACAGTTTGACTGGTCCACTGGTTCATAGATTTTTTAATATGTTGAAAACACAGTCTGGTACACTAATTAAATTATGACTAAAGGTGTATCAGATCATGTTTTTCGCACGCTGAAAAATTTTCCCACTGATTATCTGCTAAAGTTGAATGATTTTAAATGATCAATTTGAATTTCTACTAATGAGTTGATCAAAAGGAAGATACATGGTCGGGATCACAGGGCCATCCAATAACAAAGTGGTCGGGATTGTAGGGCCGTCCAATAAGAAAGTCGTCACGAGTGAAGCTGAATTAACCAATTTGTAAGAGAGAGGAGGGGCCACAGGAGGAAGCATGTTTCTGCGATACACGAGCTAATTCCACTTGTAGACAAATCGTTATTGGATATGTGTATGCATATCTCTTTTGGCGTTTTTAATAAGCTATGTATGTGTTAGACTGTGATTTGCTGATAAACCGTGTTCGAATTGAAATATGAACATGTACAACATAGAGGTCTGTGATCCTAAGATGACTAAAACAGCACGACATTTTATGTTGATATTTTTCATGTATGAATGCACTGCAATAGAGAAACCTACTCCAAGCTATGTATATATCTACAAGAAGGCAACAAAGAATCATGAGGATCAGAACTCAGAAGTAATCCATTGGGAGGTCCCAATCATCATTGGTCTTGCTTTTCCTGGAATCGAACTTCTGGTTACCAAAATTTCTTCTTCTTGTATGCTTATCCGATCTTACGGGTCTTTCAAAGTCGGAATATTCATCGAGATCATCTATGGAGGTTGCAACATTTCGGCCGTCCAAGAAACCCTATGGTCACATAATCCAAATGTCAGTTTCCGTTATTCTACATGTAAACAATCTGACTGGACTAGATCCATTCATGATTTGATAGAAGCCTCAATTACTGACATATTAGAGCCGTGGAATGGGCCGAACGGCACAGTTATGGAACAGAAGTAAAAGGGAACCAAAGTGCAGTAAGAAACCAATTTCTGTGGTTAAACATGTATGTGCCCAAGAAATGGATTAAAATGTCTAGCATGAACAATGGCCACAATTCCTTTTCGATTTACCATACTTGAAACGACAGCGAGTAATACTTAAAAGGTAAACTATGATGGCAGGTAAACTTTCATTTGCAGGCATAACACTAAGTTGCAAATAAAGCAAACTACAAATCAAGACTAGTGGTTTTATTGCACAGATAAGAAGCACCTTGGTCAGCCTGTGTATGCGGGAAGCTGCAGCTTCGTGCACAATGACGGCATCAGAGACAACTTCCAGCACGTCCTCAACAAACAACGCATAGGTACTCACCTAAAATTAGCTGGAATTAAGCTTTGCAAGTAGAATGTTTTCAAAAAAATCCCTAGACAAGCCAATTCTAGTAGCACTAATGCGTAAAATTTCCATTTCACGTACCAAACTTGATGGGATATAGGAAATTCCAAATGAATCAAATTCAAGGGATTCTACAGCCCCTGAATTGACGTTAAAACTGTACCCCCGCACCTAGAAATGGTGCATGAAACAAGTTAGATGATCGAGGAATAGGGAAATAAGTATGAAGACATTAGAGCAATATAGAGACACACCTTTCCAATCGTTCGTCGGCCTGGTGTTATAACTTGGTATCCTACCTAGCAAAATCACAACTTAAGAACTCAAATAGTAAACATTGATACTAAAAGATATTGAACAAGGCACATGGTACACCCAACACCTACATGCAGCAATCGAATTAGCATTTAACAAAATAAGCTATCCCTGAACACATTTACTTAAGCTTTACTGATGCAGAAATCTAAGCTAACCATGCAGAAAACAAACACAGAATACACTCCCATTTGGAAAGAAAGAGACACGAGTGGACGCTCTTATCAAGCATATACACATATGTCACAGGGAGACAGAACATACCAACGTTTCCAGTCCAGCAATCTTAAATTCGTCTTCAATCACACTCTCGTCCTTGACAAGCACGACATCACCAACCTGCAAAGAACAACAAATTGAACACCTTGTCCATAAGAGAATAATGTTCATAGAGTACAAGCATGAAATACATACATGTTCCAAGCAAAATCTACCTGGGTAATATCATCGAGAAGAAAACGTTCGAAATCCCCCGAAAGCAGGTTTCGCCTCACTTCTACAAACATTACCATCCACTGCAGAAAAAAGGAAAGATTTCTAAGTTTAACTTACTAAAGCAAGCAATTTTTTTTTTCTTTTCACAAACGGCAGCAAATTAATCAAGCTAGCAACTTTTACCACAGAATACAGAATTTGAAAGTTTGATACTTACAGAGTTGGTATTGACCCAAAGCTGCGAGACAAATCCCAAGCTGAGCGCACTTCGGATACTGATAACTTGCTTCGCAAGAATATTGGACCTCCTCATCACCTGCCTCCCTTTTCTCAGCCCAACTTTTTCATCAATATGCTTCAAATTCTCCTCCTTCTCCAACCCATCACCATCCGTACCCTCAATTCGAACCCGATTCTCCTCTTTTACGCTCTCGTTGCTCTTCCGATTTCGCTTATCCTCCCCCGAACCGCCCTCCGATTCCAATAAATTTTCTGAACCCAATGAAGCATTGGATTCTTCCCTGGGATCAATCCCATTTCGCGTTACTGACTCAATTGATTCTGTTGCGAGGTCGAAGAGGTTTTCACCTTTCTCCCTAAACCCTAATTCGGCCGGAATCCCAAAATCAGCTTTCGGATTATCGCTGGCCCTTCTGCTGAGGAACAAAGACCTCCCATTTCTGGAATTTGTGATTTCTGAATTCGCGAAATTCGATAGCTTCGAACAATTTGGGGTGTAAAAGTTGGGGTGCGGTTGGATTTGGGAGCTCCAATTGGTTCTGGTAAACCCTAATTTTGGAGATTTTGTGAGCGGAAAAGATAGGGGGCTGGAGGGAAGACGCTCGCACATGGTCAACTCAAACTGTCGACTGCAACGGAATCAGTTGGGATTAAGGTGTGACTGAAGACGAAGTCGTTTTGTAGGCGAAGGAAACGCCAAGTCGCATTTTTTAATTTTTTAATTTTTAGCATATCGATATTTTTATACTAAGGGAGGGGAGTTCGGTTAACACAAAATAGACAACTTAATTTGGTATCGAATTCCCTTGAGATTCAAACCTAACACTTCTTATTTTTAAATGAAAATGAATATTTTTATACTAAGGGAGTGACCAAGTCGTTTGTTACGTTCTTCACCTCCATTTTTTATCTTCATAGACTAAAACACTTCAATTTTGGGATTGTTTGATAAACAATTCATATTTTAGTTAAAAAAAGAAGATGAAAATCAAAATAGAATACTAAAAATTGTTGGTTTTCAAATTTTGACTTCGTTTTATTAAGTTTTTCAATCTTTCAAAAAACATGAAAACAAAATTTAAAATATTGAAAATGAAATGATTATCAAATGGTTTTAGTATCTCATCTTCGGTTAATGTGTTTTTGTTTCTCAAAAATTGCTTGATTCAAAATGAAAGAAGCAATATGAGATTATATGACGAAAAGCGATTCACATGTAACATATATATTGAACAATAAGACAAAAACGTTTTTACATGCGCTACATGAATATTTTCAACAAACATACAAAACAAAATTAGAAGAACAAATGTGTATGCATCTTCAAGTTGCTATCTCAAATCAGTCATATTTTTACAACATTCTCCAAGTAAGTACAAATGAAAGTACAAAAAACAACACTGATCAAACGCTAAATCAGATTTATACAAAACAACAATTGATTGTTTCAAAGGAAGATTAAATTTGTAACAAAGAAAACAAATTAACATAAGATAACCAAAAAGGGTAGCTATATGTGGTAGTATAGTAGTTTAGTAACTGGTGTTGGCCACAAAGGGATGGCAACTAGTTTTGAACTTTTCGTTAGTTTTCCTTAAAAAAAACCCTAAAAACTTCCAACAAGAAAAATTAAAAGTTCAAGTCTGTACAACTAAATAAACCTAATAATTTAAATTATTGATTAAAGTCATCCAAAACCGACCAAATTGGTTGAGTTGATCTCTTGTCCAACCTTATCTCACTTCGTATTTGTTTAGGTTTACAAAGAAGTTGGAGAAGGCACTTTTGGAATGGAATAATGCTAATGAGACTGAGGTATTCAATTAAGAATTTGAGGGATTTTAATTTTTTTCAATGAATCTAGGGTATTCAATTTAGATTTTTTAAGTGATTATCTAAGATTCAACATGTATTCAATCAAGATTTTAAGATAGTTTATTACAATCATTAGAAATATGGATGTATTCCTTAGAAATATGAATGTATTCAATTAGAATTTCAAAGAAGTTTATTGCATTTCAGGTGTATTCAACCAGGAATTTATTTTAAAGAATCTTAAAAAATTGAGAAATTTGAGAGTTGGAGAGATTTTGTAGTGCAGTTTAAGCATTCACAACTCTCACATTTCCCTCTTAGCTTTATAAGGAATTGAATCAAAATTTTTTATGGAGTATCTCCAAATCAATTAAACTCAATAAATTTATAAATTCATTAAAATATCTCAAATTCTCAATCGAAAATAAACACGATAATTGACATTTTAATTAATATTTAATCATCAATAATCACCCCATTTACAAAATTAATTTTCCCGAATGATTATGTCAATAATCTCCCTAAAAATATTAATTTTATCCGAAGCAACCAAAACCCAATCGTAGACGCCTTCGTACCCAGCAACCAATCAGAGAAAAGCATATTCCCACGAGGTTCAAAGCACCTTCATAAAACCCGAATCAGGTGCAACTTGGCAGCTCGTCCGCCAACCAATCCCCTCCCGCCACGTCGCCATCGTCAAAATTCGGAGAAGCAAAATAATTTCGTGGCTGGAAAATATAAGCGGCGACGCGTCCCCTACGCTCCAGGATTCGTGAAAACAGACGTTTACAGAAACCTCCATTCTTTCCCTCCTCTCTCTCACCTGCTCTGTCCCTCCCTCTCCTGCTCCGTCTGCATCCTTCCCAAGGTAAGCAAATCAATCTCTCTCTCTCTCTCTCTCTCTCTCTCTCTCTAATCCTTCTGGTTTGGGTTTCCGTTTTCTGTTTGGTTTCCGAGAAACGGTAGGAAAGTAACAGAAAGTTTGAGGCTTTTAACCTGAAACAACCACCTTTTTTTAGATCTAAAGTTTCGTTTTTTCGGTTATATTAAATAATTGTGCGGTTGTTTTGGGATCTGGTAATTGTTGGGGTGAATTGCTTTTGTTTTGTCGTTAGAATGGCGGATTACGCAATCTTAGCTTGAAATCTGAAAACTTGGATTCCTTCGTTCAATTTCGATTTCCCAGTCTGGAATTTCTGCGGTTTCGAATTCTGGGTTGCTTTTATCGTAATGCGTTTTGATTCACGCATTAATTTTGGTTCGTATTATGTATTCTTTTCGATTTAGTTTTGTATGTTTTTATGCACCGAATGGCATATGGGATGATTCGAATTCTCGCTAAACATTTTGGGAAACAAGTTAAGTGTTGGGGATTCCTCGATGTGTTTCTGAGTCGAAATTTGATATTGGAGGGAAATAAATTTTGGAGGCAACAAATAGTTAATGATGTTGTTAGGATAATGTGGGAAAATTTCAATAAGTTTTTGGAGAGATTAGACTTCACCATGAAGGCTATTAACTAAACTTTTGACATAAAAACTGGAGTAGGGGTTTTGTTTGATGTGATTTATGTTATAAAGCAGGTTAAAGTCTAAAGTCATATTTGACTTTCAGATTCTTCTATTTGAATTTTGCTATTTATTTTGTTGTGAAGATCAAGTTATCATGTTAGAGGCGCCTGTTTGTTTTCGAGTTGTTTTTGGTCTCACGGTACAAAGTTACTAACGAACTTTTTTTTTCCTTGTGTGTGGTGTTGAACTCAGATTTGACAGCCTGCTCTTCATGAATTCAAGAACTGCTGAAGCATCCGTGTTTTCCTGTAAATCGGGAAACAAGAATAACCTCTTCTTCGTCTGGATTTTGTTCTGTTTATTGCCAAAGTTCCTAGGAACCCCTTTTGCAATTGTGAACTTGGCAATTGACAGGTGTCCGTCTGGAGCACTGGCCGTTGAGACTTTTGGATAGGTAAATTGATAGCAGAGATCAATTCAGGGGTGTTTCACTGAAGTTTGCATCCCTGCTCTACTCTATACTTGAAAACATGGTTTCCTCTCAGCTACCTGGTTTAACCAAGGCCCACATGTGCAAACCAATTCAGCCCCAGTTGCTTTTTTCCATGGGAACAGTGGATGCTGCAGTTTCTGATCACCTCGAGCTTGATTTTGATGATGTATTTGGCCCTCTACCAGTTCAGGCTTCAGTAGAAGTGAACATGGCTAATTCTGCCTCGATTGAAGATGCAACTGATTTTATTTATGACGATCCAGTGGTTATTCACAACCGATCACATTCTTTGGTTGGCCCCTCATCGTTTGTAAACCAATCATTGAAGCTCAGCAAACTGACCATAAATGACACAGAAGATTCAGTGGAACTGGTAGAGTGTGTCAATGGAGACACCATCAAAGAATTTCAGGAACCTTTTATTGGTGTCATTGAAAAGCCTCTTGAAGTTATTGACGAAAACCCCATGAAGATAGAGAGTGTAGGCATTGAAGATTTTGAGGTTTTGAAAGTTGTTGGGCAGGGTGCATTTGCAAAAGTATATCAGGTGAGGAAGAAGGGGACATCAGAAATATATGCAATGAAGGTCATGCGAAAGGACAGGATCATGGAGAAGAATCATGCCGAATACATGAAAGCTGAGAGGGATATTTTAACAAAAATTGATCACCCATTCATTATCCAACTTAGATACTCATTTCAGGTATTTCCTGCCCAGCTCTGGAAGTATTTGTTCCTATTTACCTTTTTCTGATCTGCGTTTCTAAACTTTCTATATGAGACTTACAAGAACCCATGTTGGTAAAAAAAATGTATCTTTCAAAAGATACTATCAATTGATATATTTCAACTCAATGTGCTGATTTGGTGACTTTCTTAATGATGACTAGACTACTAACTTAGTTTAACTTGTTATGCAGACCAAATATAGACTATATCTTGTGCTGGATTTTGTTAATGGTGGTCACCTCTTCTTTCAGCTCTATCACCATGGCCTTTTTAGGTACCTTTTATTTCGACCTCCAATATTTTGTTTATTTATAAGCTCAAATATGCAGACACTTAATACTAGTTTTTCTTATTTTCAGAGAGGAGCTGGGACGAATATATGCTGCTGAGATTGTTTCTGCAGTTGCTCACCTCCATGCAAATGGAATAATGCATAGGGATCTTAAACCTGAAAATATCCTTTTGGATGCAGATGGCCATGTATGCATCTCTCTCCACCTCCCTCTCTCCATGTTATTGTTCTGATTAATTGCTCCCTATGAAGTCTAACTGACGTCATGATCGCTGGTTTATTAAACAGGCCATGTTGACTGATTTTGGTCTTGCAAAACAACTTGAAGAGAACACAAGATCTAATTCTATGTGTGGAACTGTAGAATACATGCCACCTGAAATAGTTCTTGGAAAGGGACATGATAAGGCTGCGGACTGGTGGAGTGTGGGAGTCCTATTGTTTGAGATGCTTACTGGAAAGGTTTGCATTTTATTCATTTTCTTCTTATAGATCATGATGATATAGAAAGAATTTCTTCATGGTCAGGTGGAAATTCTGTCTAAATTTCAATTCAACAATCATTATATACTTGTAGATATGACAAAAATTATTATAATGGAAGGCCATTGTTTGTTAAATTTGTTTTTATTAGGTGGGGATCCATGTTTGTTTCTTATGCTAATTGTCATATTGTCTGTATGTACTGTTTATGTTGGACATCTCATCCACGATGAATAAACTTCTGCGAAAAATGAAGATGAAGAAAAGTATTTTGTTCGTTAATTGGGTAACCCACGCACAGAAATGCACTTTAGGAATTATGTCCTTATTTTTTATGTCAATATGGATAGTTGGAACATTTGTTCTATGGCTAATAGCATCTAACATGAATTAATTTATCATTGCTCTTGGTTTTGCAGCCTCCTTTTACTGGGAACAGGGAGAAAATTCAGCAGAAGATAGTTAAGGATAAGATCAAGTTGCCTTCCTTTTTGTCAAGTGAAGCACATTCACTGTTGAAAGCGGTATATATTCATTTACCCTGATCAACCTTTTTTCTGGATAGTTTCAGCTTTTGTATGAGATTACTTACTGCAACAATATGACGGAGCATCCTTTGTATGGATTACTTACTGCTTCTATATGACGGGGTTTCCTTCTATGTTAATCTAAGTATTGAATCTAGAATATTATGAGCCATCACTTTAAGTAGACCCCAATGGTTTGAAAATGAAGGATGATGGCTACTTTGGATATGAAAAGATCAATGGCTTTTGTTTTTGTTTAGTCAGTGGTTGGGAATGTCAATGCTGATCCTCGAGTCTTTCTTTTGAGCCTTTCTCAATTGATGTTTAACTATGAGAGAACTGACTTTGCCTGGTTATTTTTTCAGCTGCTACAAAAGGATCCAAGCAAGCGCCTCGGTAGTGGGCCTTTGGGGAGTGAGGACATCAAGCGCCACAAATGGTTCAAGCCAATAAACTGGAAAAAACTGGAGGCTCGGCAAATCCAACCAAGCTTTTGCCCAGATGTTGCTGGGAAGCACTGCATCGCCAATTTTGATAAGTGCTGGACCGACATGTCAGTTGTGGATTCCCCAGCCGCTAGCCCGAATGCTGCTGGAAACCCCTTCACAGGCTTCAGTTATGTTAGGCCGGTCTCCTCTTTTCTCCAGAAGTAGACGTCATTCGCTAGCATGCGTTGTCCCAAGATGCAAGTTTTTCGACCTTTCTTATCCTTTCCCTTGTAGAATCTTCTTAACTATGAACTTATGTAAGTTGCTTGAAAGCAGCATCCGGGAGAGAGATTTCTTTAAGCAGTCCTCTCTTGAGATTAGACAAATATGAAATCTTTGCAGACACTTTTCATTTGCTGAATTCTGAATGTTAGCATTTTACTTTTTATTTTATTTTGTGAGATATTATGGTAATATAGTAAAATAACATATAAAGAGAATTATTATGAGCGTTCCAAAATAATCATCTAACTCTACAGACGACTACCAATCATCATCGAGAGCCAATTTTCTTGAAGCTATGTTCTTTTCTCATGTTTTCAAAATTTTTTGTGCATTTTGGGATCCAAATTTCACATGTGGATAAATCAGAGTACACATGTCAAAATGTCAGCCTTTGCTGACACTTCTACTAGTTCTCCAACAAAACAAAAAAGTTCACACTTCACAATCTTTGCTGACACTTCTGCAAGCATGGCCTATCTGCACTCTCCAAGTCTAACCACACTTAAACACAACCCTAAGCCTGCATGCTTCCCTCCTTCAAAACCCTCTTCACTTCACAATCTCTGCTGCTTCACAACCCAACTCAGAAGCTCCCCTCACAGATGCAATGCATTGTTTGGTGAAATCCCCGAAAATCTTCTGGAAACTACCCTCCATTTGGACCAATTTCCTCCTCTGCAACATGGTTTCATGCAGTTTGAGAGAATTACAGAGGAGTTGTCAGAAACACAGAAATGGGGTTTCCTTGTTTTTGCCGGGATTACTTGGATATACTTGACCGTGAGGCCGGGGATTCTCATTAGCGCCATTGATGCATACCTTCTTGCTCCTCTGAAGTTGGGGTTGGATAGTTTGACTGGGAGGAGGAGGTTGAAGAGGACGGGTTTTGTGATCAGGGAAAAATTGGGAGAAGGGTCTTTTGGTGTGGTTTATTCCGGGGCAGTTGCTCCGAAGAATGTGAATGTCGAGGAGAATCTGCAGAGGAGAGGAAGGGGGAGGGCTCCACAGTTGGATGAGAGGTTTAAGGAGAAGGTCATCCTCAAGAAGGTAAGTAGGTAATTCCGTGATTTATCATAGTATGATTATACTACTTACGGTTTTGGGAAATATGCACAAATAGAACCGCCTGCAGACTTTTAGTCAAAATCTAACCGGTTTTATTTGTGCATAGTTTCTAAGGTACTACAATTTTGTTAATCGTTTTCTTTTATTGGTGGCTTTGTAGACGTTGAATCCGTGACAGGGAAACCAAAACCTTGATGATTACATGAAAGATAGGAAATTCCCTTTTAACTTAGAGTCTGTCATGTTTGGACGTGTCCTGCAAGATGTAGACTCCGTCAAACGCAGTGCATTGATCATCAAGCAAATAATGCGTCAAATTATTACTTCGCTCAAGAAAATCCATGACACGGGCATTGTTCATCGGGATGTAAAGCCAGCAAACTTAGTAGTGACGAAGAAGGGACAGATCAAGCTCATAGATTTCGGGGCAGCCACTGACCTCCGGATTGGAAAGAATTATATACCAGACCGCACCCTGCTAGACCCTGACTTTTGTCCTCCTGAACTATATGTGCTCCCAGAGGAAACACCGAATCCTCCTCCTGAGCCTATTGCTGCATTACTTTCTCCGATTCTTTGGCAGGTACTACACTTTCAACCCTTTATTTGTGATGCCAAACATATCAAAAGCTATGCTGCTTTGCAGGAGGTATTTGGATCAGAAAAAAGCTTGAATTCTCGTTTTAAAGCGTAGCAATGAATCAGACGTTGTGATTATTGTTGCAGCTCAACAGTCCTGATCTCATTGATATATATTCTGCTGGAATTATACTATTGCAAATGGCAATACCTATAGAATTGATATGTTTTGTTGGTTTGCATTCTGATAAGCTAAGTTGTTTTATATACATCTTACACACACACACACACAATAAACTAATGTTGTAAAGGTGGCGTGCTTGCTGTCCATGCTGCAACACATCAGAGCACATGAGTTGTACCATGTGGTAATCTGCTGTCAGGGAATGTTGCAGTGCTTGCTGTCCAGGTTGTATTCCACTTGTGCAGTTGATGGAGCAGATTGTGTTGTTGATGAACTGATCTCCTTTGATGTAGGAGATTCCTTAACACGCCCCCGCAAGACGGTGGCACCATCGGAGACACCGATCTTGGAACGAAGGAGATGGAAACGTGGACGTGACAAGGATTTGGTCAGAGCGTCTGCAAGCTGATCAGTAGTGGAGACATGAGAGACTTGAAGAAGACCACGAGTGACGCGATCCCGTACAAACTGAAAATCAATATCGATATGCTTCATACGGGAATGGAGAACAAGATTAGCACAATAGAACATGGCTCCAATGTTATCACAAGAAACAGCCGGTGTTGTGGGGAGAGAAATGCCAAGTTCACGCAGTAAGGACTGAATCCCTATGAGTTCAGCAGTGGTGGCAGCAATGGCCCGATATTCGGCTTCGGTAGAGGAGCGAGAGACAGAGCGCTGCTTTCGGGAGCTCCAAGAGATGAGATTGCCACCGAGATAGACAACATAGCCAGTCGTAGATTTGCGATCATCACGATCACCAGCCCAATCTGTTGGAAATGTGCCCTAAAACCAATCATATGATGATACTTTATGGACATTTCACATGTTAAACTAATCTAGTTTAATATTAAGGGCAAACATTATTGTTTGAGCCGTCTCATATAAATGTTATATGCTTAAACGATAAAGTCCAAGGAATATGTGATTGGGAGAATGCGATCTAAAGAAGTTAGATTCATGAGACCATTCTTTTGTAGACACATCCTAAACGTTCCTGATCATAGGATTGCCAATTGGGCATTGACAGTCCGTTAAGATCAGTACGTGCTGTGTCTTCTCTCAGGGAGAGTGACTAGTCTCGAGTCATTGGTGTGAGTGACACCAAGACAAGCATGTAGGTGCTCAATAGAGAATGAGTTCACTGAACACGATCAACGAGGAGTTCTCATATTTATGTCACATGAGAACTCATGGTTGGGATAATGCAAAGTAGTCCTTTGACCTGAGGCATCACAGCTGTCTTGTGGTTAGGTACTTGATCTTTGATTATGTCAAAGTCACTCTATCAGGGTGTCCACGGCATCGTCGGGGTTAAGCCACTTAGCCATGGAGGCAAGTGAATGCGCAACAAGGGATCTCTAACCTTCAAACTGTTTGAGGGAGAATACTCTATGATATGATTTAGAATCTCTGGCCAGAGTATGAATGAGATGTTGGAATGCGTTCCAGATCACATTCAAGGTAATCATATAAGTACAAGATTCACATTGGATAGTAGACATGAATAAACTATCAAACCAAACAATGTGGTCAAGAGTATTGTATTAGAGAAAGACCGTATTGCATTTGTAATCCTAAAACTGAATAGGTTCTCCACCTCTTCTGATTAGCTTGAGTAACCATGACATGCTGCTAGGCGTCAACCATGGTTTGTGGAAGCCCTAAAAGTGTATTATCACTAACGGGAGAATTGAAAGTAAGTTTCAATTCACAATCAATTTGAAAGAGTTTGAATCGCCCACTGCCTCGCTAAAAAGAACCTAATGGATCGTACACCGTGTAAGGTAGAGATTGAAGATTCAACGGAGATGAGTAAGAATAATTAAATGGTTTAATTATTTATGGCAATGATTAATTAATATGATTATTAATCAAACGAATAAGTTCGTTAAAAGACCTCGGGATAGTTTTGGACCTTAAGGCCCAATGAGCTTCGAACGTCAAGTCCATTGACTTAAGTTGTGTGACAACTTAATGAATAATGATTCACAAAGACCCAAATAGCCCAATGAATACCCTAAGGCCGGCCATTTAGAGAAAGAGTGAGTTTTGGACTTATTTACAAGTTTGCCACTCAAATGAATTAAGGTATAAGTGTGACTTAATAGCCAAAATTCATTAAGGGTTGTTTTTGGGGAAATAGGAAAAACAAAAACTCTCCTTTCTCTCTAGAAATGGCCGGCCACCCTTGAGGAAAACATCTAGCAATCTTACTTCCTCAAGGTCACTCATTTCTTCTCCAATCTTACCTTGGTGTGGAGACTTAGAGGTTCTCAATTTTGGGAACTTGGAGAAACCTTTTCATCCATACAAATCCATGGATCTAAGATGCAAGGAATGAAGGCCCTCTCTTTGGGTGATTAGCCTTTGCTTATGCAAAGAGGAATCTACAAAGGTATTGATTTCTCAACTCACTTTGTTTTCAGTTGAGTCTTGGTTCACCTATCTACTAGGCTTTGAAGTTCATGGGTTAAGTTTTGTTTTTGAGTGCATATAAAAACATGATTCTGCCTTTTAATTGTTAATTGCATGTTGTTGATGTTGCTCAAATGAACTTGTTTTTCACAAATTTTCCTTCAAGTGGTATCAAGAGCCTAAGTCTAGTAGTTGGTGAATCCTTTTGGGTTTTATAGTTCATAGTTTGTGATTTGAATGTTGTAATTGTTACAAGCTTTATTCTTGCTTCTTTGAATGTAAATTTTGTTAGAAAATTTGCCATCTCAAATGTTGTAGATGTAGTTCATATGAGCATGAATTTTGGAGCTAAAATTTGGTGCCATGTTTTTGGGGAAATTCGGCCAAATCCAAAGGGTGGATTTTTGGGTTCTTGTTTGACTTGTTAAAAGTGTTTTAAAATGACTTTTGGAACCCCTATGTACCCTAGTATGGTTGTATGTTATTTCCCTTAAGTTTGAGTGGTTTTGGTATGTTTTTGGGTGAAGAATGTTCATGGAGCTCTTATGGGTTTTCATGAATGTTCTTCATTGTTCTTGATATGTTCTTGCCAAGAACAAAAGGTTTGGTGTTTTGATTCAAAGTTTTGATTTATTTCATAAAGTTTTTGTTTTGAAATATTTCTTATGTTTAAATATATTAGATATTTATTTTGAAAAATTAAAGAAATTTTAGTGGGTAGGTGTGTAATGATTTATTCCATTTCACACACCCCACTTACAAAAACTTTGAAATTTTTTTTAATACTTTGCTTCAATGGCCGGCCACCCTACTCAATTAGGGTCCTAGTGGGGCTTTTATGCAATTACATAAAGTTTTGATACTTTTGTGTATTTGTACTTTGACCCAAAAGTTTACGTTTTTACGTAAAGGTCCAAAATCACTAAAAGGACATTGTTTTGCTCATTTAATGAAGTTTTAGCTTTTGTGGAAATTTTTGGGTTCTAGTTGTAATTACATGAAGTAGTGGACTTTTGTGTTTTTACAAAGTGACCCCAAAAGTTTAAGTTTTACAAAATGGCCCAAAAAGTTGAGGTCATAGCATTTTGGCCCAAATTAATTAGGTAGAGAACAAAATTGTTTTGTCTCTTTAAATGAGAATTGGATTTTCATTTCATTTAGCTCCATTTAAATCAATTCTATGGATACAAAAACCAAATGAAAATGTTGCATTCAAGTTTAATTAGTTAAAGCGTTAATTAATTAAAGAAAGGGTGATTATGAACCTTAGCCTACGATAATTGAGATATGTGAATGGCCGTTTCAAATTTGTTTGAACCATGGGAATGAGTAGATTAAATTTTGGTTGTAATATGATATGATCAATTGTTGTAAAAGAGCATAAGCTCTTCTTTACTTTAAAGTAATTTGATTTGATCAATTGTTGTAAAAGAGCATAAGCTCTTATTTACTTTGAAGTACTCCTTTCTTGTTTTATTCGATATGCATAAAATTGGAGTAGTTGGGTCCAACGCCCAATAAGACAACACGCCTTAATGTGATTAAACGCGTAACTAAAATCAATCACCATCCCTAGACCGAGATTCAACACTAGGCTCGTGTTGAATCGAATCAAAGGTTCATAGTCATCCTAAGGCCCTAAGGCAACTATATAGTCCATCAATGAATGCAAACCTTATGTTAGTAGTATCATATACTCTTACTTTAAAAACCGTTTTAAAAGCTTAGTGGGAGTATTATATACAACTAAATCAATCAAATGGACCAATAGTTGTAATAGGACCAAAATGTTTTAATTGGATTAAAATGTATGTTTATATGTGATGAGACCTAAAACCCTCAACAAACCATTATTAAGTTGATAAGCGAGAGATGCTTTGAATATCTCTTCGTAGGCCTTCCACCGTGGTGGGCTCCAATCGTTTGTGACTCATGCACCGGCTTCACCCTATAATGGGGAAGTACAAAGTATGTGCTTACATCCAGGAGGAGTCCATAAACATATGATGAGGTGAGTGTAGACAACGAGTATGACCAACATGATATAATTCTGAGGTTGTGCTTGAACCTCTACATAAACTAAGCATGGTGGGAATAACTTAACTAAGTGCAATGGTGCCAACATGATATAATTCTGAGGCATTCATTCTCTAGAGGCCAAACAAGATGGGTAATTACAAGAGTTGTAAATGACTAAAGTGTTATTCTCTCATCATTATTTTTGCTAACCAAAATTATATAATTCTGAGGTGGGCTTGGTAATGGTGAGTCTCCCATACCCTGCTAAGAGTTCAACAAAACTCTCGAATTCCGATGAGGGATATGGAATTTGCCAAAAATAGTGGGTTGTGCTATTTGATTTAAAGACCCGAATCAAATGGCTTAAAATCAATCAATTTATATTCGTTATGTATTTGTTTACCAATATATTTGCAAACGCTATCCAAAACTTGACAAAGAAAAGCCGAATGCTTTAATTTCCGGACTTAGTTCTACAATCCCATAGATTGTCTTTAATGGTTTGTAGATGTAACTAAGTAGTCTCATCCTCACAATCTTCCTATTGATAATGTATCATTGGAAGAATATGTTAGATAAGTCTAACATGAGAAAGACAACACTTTTAATGTCAGAATTCTTCAAATACAAATTGTTGTATGAAGAAATAAGAGTTGCTTTGAACAACCCTTAATCAACACAAACTTTAGTGCTTGTCTCTTTGTTACACGAACAAGGAACTTGAGAAGTAAGCACAAGGGCATGGACACTTTATGTGCCATGATTCTTCACTTACAAAATGTTGTATGAAGAAATGAGAGTTGCCTTGAACAACTCTTGAAAGTTTGTTATTATGTTTAGAACATAATGGTTGGTTGACAAAAATAGTCCATTTATATGGACTTATGATGATTTTGAATCATTGAGTGTTGAAGTGTTAAACCACTTAACGAGACGGAAACTAGGCAAGGACTTCACCTTTGTGTCCCTATTCTAATGGTTCACTAAGTTTATTGTAAACTATATAGTGAACAATAACCGCACGCTCTCCAAATCGTTTGATGTGTATAACACATTTGAAATAAGTTTCAAGAGAGATAGTGGGAGTTTAGGGACCATGACTATTGTAGTCAAAAGGGAAGTCAAATGAAGAAGACAAAATAACTCCAAAGGAACAAACTTTCTTTATGAAAGGATGGACATTGGAAGGGGTATTTGCAAGAAATGTCTTGCAAGTGTCAAGAACACACCTTTTGAAGGTGTTGTAAAATGTTCTTGAAAAGTTCATAACAGTTGGTTCTTCTACTTGAATGCATGATTCTGTATTAGTAACTATGTTTTACAATTGTTGTAAAAGTGTGCTAATAAGAAGTAGAAGATTAATGAGAGAAGAGAAAGTACTTCACATTCCAAACGTGAATCGAATATAGATCTCTGCGAAAGCGGATTGTACTTA